CAGCTAAGTATAGTCTGTTGCAAAATTAAAGCACACAAAGGCAGGAAAGTACTTGTAAATTATTTCATGTATATTATTAAAAAGTTAAATCATATGACTTCCCTTGTGGAAATTAAGTATACTTTAAGTATACTTCAAGTATACTTTATATGTACTTCTCAGAAAAAAAGTACATTTGAAGTATACCTCGTTTGTACTTCCAGAAAAAAAGTATAAATGAAGTACATTTGGCAAATGTACTTCATTTATTCTTCAAATTCTTAAGTATACTTTTAAGTATACTTCTTCAAACTTCAGTGCTTGTGAAAAATAGTTTCGCAAAGAAAAGTGTACTTTAAGTATACTTTGAAACTGAAAGACACATTCTGATCTGAGGATCTAGGAAGGTTTGTCCGGATCTTGAAATCACTACAAGACAAAAGTATACTAATAGTATGCTTTAAGTATAATTTCACTTCAAAATACTATTCAGATCAAATCAGTTTTCTTCTATTAAGGACACAGTTGAGATCATGTAAATATTTCTTCAGAGTGAAGTATATAACAGGTTTCTAGATACACAGGGCACACATTAGCTGTTCAGTCGACTTCCTTCGTAAGAAGATCATCCGCCGATCCCTGGGCGAAATGGTAAAGTCACACAGTTTCATTCTGGTCATTTCTTTAACGTCTTTCGTGGAATTCTTGCGTTTGGCAGTAAAAGGTACTGGATGTAATATTAAGGCCCGCGTCGTTTTACCTCCTTTTTTACGAGGACCTTAAGAAATAGAACGAGAACTCGAAACAAAACCATCGCTCATCGTCGGACATCTTTACGTGCGAGGAAAGAAATGTATATATGAATGTGTTGAATTACCGCTGACTTCCAGTACCGTCAGAACATATACGGGATCTTGTGGATTTCCTAATACGGTCATGTATGAATCATTTACAGAATACCTAACTTCCATATATGGTTTTGGCGGGCGATACAGATTCGAAGGAACGTTCGTTGAGCTTTGCTGAGAGTGTCTTCAAGATATTTATACGCTTGGAATATTGCCTTTATCTTCACTATTCGAGTACAATATGAGTGGAACTTGAAAAGAAAACAAAAGAAGTACACCATCACTGAATTTTGACGATACAAGTAAGTTGTGGGGTGAAAAATGTATCAGTTCCAGTCGTTTCAATGTATATCGATTCTTCTTTGCAAGAGTGTAAATTCAAAATATAAAACCCAAGTCTTGTTTTCGTTAGATCGCATTTCGTTCCAGTTTTTGTACGTAATAGGTAGACATATTTCTTTAATAACGTAATGGCACAAGTTACTTTGTAGCCAAAGAGCGCTCGAGTACAGATCTAATCATTCTTGTCTATTAAACATTTACTAAAATTAAGAAGAATATTGTGAGATGGTTCTAAGCAAATATAATTGTTAAGTACAAGTGAGTTAAAGGAAGTTCACAAAGAAACCTGTTAATATACATGCACCTTCCTTGAAATGATCTCATTGTCAATGAAAATTTTACTAAAATCAAGAAGAATAATATATTATGGTAATCAAATGCAGTGAGTTCCTTTGGTAGGAATAGAAAATGTATATTTTTATGTTGTGGAAACCTATTCCAACAAGATTTGCTATATATTTTTTTATAATTTCTTAGTACATTTGTATTGCTGTAAGTTAAGGGTAGTTTTTTTTTTGTTATATCAATAAATGATTTTACAAGATCCAAGTCTGACGTGTCGCAGTGATTGATAAACATATTGCATTGAGTATAATTTAAGTATATTTTAAGTATACTTGAAGTATACTTCCGATTAAGTATACTTCAAGTATACTTTCATTTAAGTATACTTTAAGTATACTTTTTAGGTGTCGAAAAGTTGTGTACTTAAAGTATACTTCTGGTAAGTATACTTAAAGTATACTTTAAATACAAATGAAGTACACTTTTTAAAGTGTTTATCACCTATATACATTGTCCGTGACTGTGCTCACATGGTGGGTGGCTCCTCCTAAAATGTTCTGCAATTGGTATAGGATTTAATGGAGCCGAAACCAATTGTGGAATTGCACGCATTTTAGGCATCCTACTGATGAACAGTTGCGACACGTAGATATATATTTTTTAGCAACTAAGATAATTTGCAGTCTGTCTACTTTGAATATAAAGTATACTTTAAATGTACTGAATTTCTACAAGGGTTTTCTCTCTCAACGTGGAATTCATTTGCACTCATGTGTTTTTCAAAAAGCTCAAATTGCATCCGCCCTTTAAAGGGCTCATTCAGTTTTGATACTTTTTGAAAAACACAAATTGTACTCAAAGGTGAATGACTACTTATACACTTATGCCCCATTCACACCAACTAAACATGTATTAAAATGAAAAACAGACACAGAAAATTGCAACTCAGATTCTCACACAGGATTCAAAATAATGACCTTCAACCATTCTGGTAATTTGCAAGAAACTTTATAGTCAGTAAGCAGCTATTATAAAGCAAACAATTTTAACTGTGTTTTAATAAACAACTTTGTTTAAGCTTTGGTGTGAATGGGTGTAAAGTATTTTGTTGAATATAAATGAACAAGAAAAGGGGAAACAAGTGATAACAGTATCTGTAGTGAATCGTGAAAACAAATGCCTGTATAAGATCCTTGCAAATAAGGGAGTGGACGTGCAGAGAAAAGTACAGCCACTTTAGGATTATAGCTCCGTGGTGAGAATAGGTTCATAATAGTTGTAGCACAGCCTGAAGGTCCTTTCTACAAGAAAAATTTGTAGCAGTTTTCTTTGGAAAATGAGGTAATGTTGGTAAAGCGTGTGATAGTCAAGATCTATACATTACATCGCAAGACTGTGACTGATTTATGAAATCTCAGTCAGTAGTTATCACCACTTAGAAAATGATTTTCAAGCCTTGTTCTTTTATCTAAGGTTTGGAAAGTGTAAATATTGTGAATTTCCTTTTTGAAATCAGGTTCTGAAATCAGTAACACAAGCACCGTTAGGTAGGCAGGCTGTAGCCTGCATCTATTAGCTCAAGAGTCACAATTATATTAATGCTTCTCCTGTAATTGAATACCGAAAACAACTTCACTTATCCCTCAGGCATGCTAAAAAGAGAGTCCACTAGTGCCAATTAGCTTATATTGTGTAGTTTGTAAAAATTTAATACAGATAATTCATTTGCTAGGAGAAGAGATGGAGAGGGACACCCCTGTACTAGGAAATGCCCCAACTAAGGGACCAAGCAACTCGCAAGGAACATAGCATCCTCTTGTAGAAGTAAATATCAGTAGTAGTAGCCACTTGGAAGATGACCGCCTATATATCTAATTGCAAGAGCAAGGGCAGTTGGTGTGGACTATGAGTCTGCAAAGCCTGGTGAAGTGGAAACAGAGAATGACAGGAGAAACAGACAGCAGCGAAACCAAAGAAGAATATCAGAACAAGAGAAAAGGTTGCGTGAAGTTGTTGGAGATCTACCACCACCTCCACCAGCAGGGACAAGTCAGCAAGAAGATAATGCATACAGTGCTATTCGTTCATTTGAGGTGGAGCAGATGACTGATACATTTACTTTTTGTGAGGTCTGCAAGGAAAGGCGACTGGAGTGCAAGGGCACAAGAAACATGTGTACTCACTGCAGAAGAGATGAGAAGGTGCCAAAAGTTTGGTCAGGTGAGAATAACATGGATCCAATGGCTGTTCCTGAGATTTTGTCTAACATGTCAGATGCTGAACAGATGCTGATAGCCAGGCTAGCACCTACTGTGCATGTACACCTGCTGAAGCGTGGAGGTATTGCCTCAAAGGGACATTGCATTGCTTTCCCACAGGCTGTGCAAGATCGAAACCGCAGTTTCAGAACACTTTCTCAGCAACAGTCACTCTGTTTCCCATATGTTACTTATCACAATTGAAACACTTAGATATGAACGCAATTGTCTTAGGAAAGCACGCGAGGTGCCCCTCATTCATAAAGCCAAAACCATGGAGTCTCTGAGAATTAAAAAATCGTGACGAACTATAGTCATTATGTAATCGTTACCATGTAACTTCCGTTTATTATTTTACGGTAGTATATATTCTGTATATTCATGTTTTTTCCTAATAAACCTGATGAAGACTGGTATTGGCTAGTCGTATTAAATATTGTATACCTTAGCCTTTTTCACATTGCTTCATCAGTCTTTGCAGAAGTCTTTTTGACTTTAATTGTATGAAAGAAATATTCAGCGTCAATTCCCAGCACGCGAATGGCAAAAGAAAGTACAGTTGTAAAAAAAAAAAAAATTCGATGAGCTGGGCCGAGTCAAAGGAGGCGGGAACAGAGGCGGATCAGGGGCGCGGTAAATTACTGTCCGTCGATTGGCTCATAAAATCGAGCCCAGGTCTACCGGTGTCGATCGCCTGGGATTAAAGGTAAGCCATCTTTGTATAACCGAAGTCACGTATGTTTGCCAATATATATTTACGGGTTTTCAAAGGGCGCAGGACAACTTCTAAAGACAAAAGAAAGAAAGTAGGTGAGAATGTGTTCATGACTTATTTTGAAGATCGTAGGGAACAAAGAGAGACAACTTACATCTACCGAACCTTGGAATGATTCTATGTATGAAGACCCGGCGTTGTCAATCAATGGTTTCCGATAATCGATAAAATCAATAATAATCAATAACAATTAATCGATTGGTATTGGAAATCGATAAAAATCGTTGACGTAAAGTTGTGTGAGTATCGATTTCTATTGATTTTCATCGATTGTTATTGATTATTATTGATTTTTATTGATTATGAAATTTGTCATTTTCTTAAATAAAACGCACCATATGAATGAACAAACCATTCAGTTATCTTTACTTGTTGTGTTTTATGTTACATTTGTAACATTTTTACCCCTTATTACTATTAAAAGCCACTTATATTACTAGACTCTGATCGTCTCGAAACAAGAACAAAATTGTCTTTAAGTCTCTTCAGTGTCACTCTCTTCCAGCTTGTTAATTAGTTGAGGAAATTGTTTTTGTCTGCGCTCACTGTCATGCTGCCTGAATATACGCATGCAGGCCAAGAACATACATCTTGAACATTCACCCGTGCAACCGAAAGGGAAGATAGCAGAATAATTGTTAAAAGGAAAATGTAATGCGCTTCCAGAGTAGCATAAAGAAGGCACTCTACAACGCTCAGAACACTTGCTTGGTATATTAGAGAGTGCAACAACACCATAATACAAAGAATCATAGATGCATCTAAGAAAAGCGAAAACAGCGCAAGAAGAAAAACAATGTGTAACATGATAATGATTTTTTCTTCGTATCGCTCGTCAAAGAAATACAATACACAGGGGATCAT